TGAGGTATTACCACCTTGGGCTATTACTGTTAGAAGACAAGGAGAAAAGAATCGGTGACCATTGAGCTGCCTGTTTGATGGAAGAAAGCAACTTTACTCTTAGCCCAACTATGAGTAGCAGGTCAGATTTCCATGCCTCTTGTGGAGAACAAAATATGACAAAGAGGAAGACTGGATAAATTATTGAAAGCTTGAAAATAACTTCAACAAGATTACACATTTAATGGAGCTAATTAAAAATGAAAGCCTCTATATAGTTGCCCATTATACCTGTAGTGGCTTAGGATCATTAGTGATCCTAATCTATACCTGGAGCAATCTTACTATCTGAAGAGAAGCCTCAGGTCTTCAAGTGGTTCTCAGGAATAGTTTTCTGTTTAGTCCTGTGAGAATTCTAGTAACCATTTCCCATGTAGAATTTTAATAGCTTGTCACTGCATCCCTTGAGGAAGGAGCAGAATAGTTTCTCAGGCATTGGAAATAAGGCTAGGGTCTTGATGGGTTGTAGGGCTTCCCTTCTTTCCTCCTTATCAGCCTTTTGATTTCCAAAAAAGACATTGGACACATCTCTGTGGGGCCTTGCAGTGAATAACAGTGACTTGCTTGGGAAAATGGACTGCCTCTGAGAGATGCAGAATTTCCTGCTTGTGTTTTATAGACGATTGCTTATTAGTCAGCAAGCTCCTTCTTTGCAGATTGCTGCATAGCCATGTAGCATCAGAAAGGCATAATTGGAATCTGTAGAGATATATAACATCCTGCCTTTCCTTCATATTGATACCCAAGTGAGAGATATGAGTTCTGCTCTTTCAGCAGTGGACTATCAGGAAATTTGGCCTCAGTGAATCAGTGTGAACCAACAACAGCATAACCTGACTTTTGATGTCCTTCTTGGACAAACGTACATTCATCAATGACCCACAACTGTTCAAGGTCTTGGAGAGCCAGGTTACTGATTTCCTGTACTTGTATCTTTCTGGAAGATCACTTGTTCCCAACACTAGCTAATTTCTGGACCTGTATGCATCAGAGAAGCAGGATTGAGTGTAGTTCTGGTTTTTATAACAATCTCAGATTTGTCTAAGAGCATACATAACCTGATACTTGCCAAGACATTCCTCTGTTAACCTTTAGTCTCAAAAATCACTCTGAAGTCATGAGAGTCAGGACTTGTATTTTCTATCCTAATGCTTCCCCTTTCAGCATAACTGTACCTGCCACAGACCTCAGGCAGCACAGCCATCCAGAAGCCACTCCATCTGACTTTCTGAAAAGTAGCCTAGGATTGAGACACCCAAAGCAATTTCTCCTTTTCTGATATCTAGAAGAAGGTTTTCTTAAGTCAGGTATCTTATGCCATGCAGTAGGATTCATTTGTTGGCTAATTAGATCATACAGGCTGGCATAAACCCAACAGGCAAAATTGGTTTTGGCCTTTGTAATAATTTGATAATTGCCACAACATGGCTGTTAAACTCTTCTTAGCAAGGGAATGAGACATTGTTGGACAATTAAAAGCTCATAATTAAACATTTGGCCTTCAATTTACAGGAGAAAAGTAAATCTGACTAGGATTCCCCTCAACACCAACTGTGGCTATAAATTCTAGAGAGAGGTTTTCCAGAGTAGCAAGTCAAAATGGAAAGGAGCAATTGAATTGGCTCAGCAATGGTTTCCAGTGTCACCCAGGGTTCCTCGGAGGAGATGGTAATATCTGTGTAAAGAATTACTGTAGTTTCATTTGGGCCTCTTTAGAGCAGAAATCAAGAATGTTGCTTGGCTTCACCTTTCTTTGGGAGCAGGAACAGTTAGTGCTCCAGTGCCATGAGTCAGGCACACTGGCTGCCTCTGACTCAGAGCAGGACCTGAGAAGTGGCTTGGTGCACTTGCATGTTCAGCCTTCTGACACTTAATACAAGAACTTCAGTTGTCCATGGGGTTTTCCATTAGAAAATCTATATGATTGTAATGCATTGCCAATCAGGACAGCTATAATCAGCTAAATTTTTAACCTATTTCTTTTGACTCTTTTTGGATCTTGATTATTGAACACAGAAAATGTTGTGTCCAAGTATTGGTTCATAGATGTCTGTGGACCCACCTGAAGTTATGGTAATTTATGCCAAATATCTGGGCCCAATTGAATGATGAAATGACATCCCTCCAGTGCCACTTCCTCCCTGGAAGATGGACCTATCCTATTTTTTTATTTGGAGAGGATGGGACTGATTTCTTGGCCTGAGGATTACAAGAAGAGCACAATGAGAATTGCCAGTGTACTTGTCTTCATTAAACCAATTGGAAAGACTCATATCCCCCTGAGCAATAGGTGGGGATCCAAGGTCAGGATCAGCAAAGGTACCTCTCTCTTTTAGGGGGCCAGTCTAAATACCATAGATTCTGGGGTTTTCCTGAGAAGAGGTGCACAGAAGCCTGAACATCAGAGATTTCACTCCATCTTCTATGATTTAAGCAGAAATTATTGCACAGAGAAATACTTCCATAATTTAAACTGCCATCCTGTGCACACATTGCGCCATTTCCTAGTTCTTACTGAACCCAATCTGCATTGTAATAGTAGATAATCTCTTCCTTTTTTTTAATTGTCAGGGTCAAACCTTTTCCACTGATGTAGTGGTGAAGTCCCTGTAAACTGAGGGGCATTGGTCATGACATTTCCCCTGGCTCCTCTTTGATCCTACAGAGAGAACTATCTAGGCTTCAGGTCCTTCAGATAGCATGCCATGCAGAAAGAAGGAAGAGACCTCAACTGAGCAACAAAGTATCCCTTTTGAGACTCAATTTTCACTAGATACAGGTCTCTGAATCTGGGAAGATGCTGCTGTCTTTCATAGAAGTATAGAAGAAAGCTCTACTGAGGTGATTTGTCTCCATACTGGGGCCCACTAACTCCTTAGGAAGATGAGCATTGAGCCACTTGATGACTCTACTTAGATCTTTAAAACTCTCAGGAGATCAGGATGGAGTCCCTCTCCATGGACTCCCTTAGCCATGTTCCTCCATTTGATGTCTCTGCTTACAGAGCAGGGAGCCATTTGAGAAACAGTATGTCAGGACTTCATTAAGCATTTTGAATCAGTTGATGCTCTAGTTAAGCAGAATGGAAAAGGCTGTATCACTATCCTATCAAACCAGAATCTTCAAGTTAAAGGGAAAGACCATGGTAGGATTCCCCCACCTTGATTTGATGGCCCACATGCCCACTATCTTTGGAAATTCTCCAAGAGTCACACCCAGAAGTTTGCTTTACTGTTTTCTGAGGCATCTTTCATCCAGCCAAATCAATAAACAAGGCTAATGGCCCCAAGTAGAAAAAGGCTCTCACCAGGACACTGACAAGATAAAATAAATAGTGTACCACATGCCATCAGGCAAGCTACAAATATATTAGGAAGAGAAGCACTTTTACAAGTAATACTGAATCATTAAAGCATGACTTCTTTGAAGGTTGTATGTATATGGCACAAACACAGTGAAAAGAATCAGGCATTCATCACTGTTACGCATGACAATGATGACCCCAAATGCTTACAGAAGCAACGAGGAGATAGAGTGGAAACGTTTATCCAAAATGGTGTGTCAGCCTGCCTGGGTCAATTCTAAATTTCTGTGCTTCATCCCTACATAATAAGTTAACTAAGATGAAGTATTTTTCAAATATTCATCACACATCTGATTATTACACCATGCATTCTACCCAGATGTTCAAATAGTTGCAGTTTAAAGAAATTAAGAACCAAAAAAAATTTTTTTTGGTACCACGGATAGAACTCAGGTCCTTGTGCTTGAAAGGTAAGCAGCGGAACCACTAAGCTAAATCCCAAGCTCAAGAACCAAATTATTTATTTATGTCCTTGTAGAACTTACTGTTTTCAAGCTCTTTGAAGGTAAGGAAAATGGTAGGACCATGGACAGAGCCAGGCATTGATAAGTAATATCTAGAATCAACTCACAAATTATATTCAAACACAATGTATTTATTCATCTTATTGATCAACTCAGGGAACATAGTGAGAATAAAATTTTTTTGTATCACGCACTTATTTATCCAGATCCTCAAATACACACAGTTTCTCTTTTACTCCTCCACAGAAGCTTCATGTAAATGACATCAAATTATATATTTTTCACTGAGTGAATATACATCACTGAAATTTTGCCCTTCTATTGATTAAAATTATACCATATGATACTCCATACAAACATATATGGAACTTTCCATTCTTGCATATATTCTATAAATTCCCTTTCTTGAAAAGAGTATTTATGGATATTTTTAAAGAGACAAAAAAGCTCCTTTGACTGATATTTAAGTTGTGCCTATGGAATAATGAATGCAAAATTTTACAAGATTTTTCATTTCAGGAAACAAAATGAAAAGAGAAGAAAAAAAACAGAAACTTTTTTTTTTTGTAAATAGGGAGGGATGGAGGGGTGGAAGTAAAGGAAAGGGAATAATGAAAACACAACAAACTAGATATATCATGTACAAGTAAAAATTTCCAATAATAAATGTGATCATAATGTATACCTAAAATGTACCAATAAACTTAATAGAATAAAAAAGATTTGTCCCTTCAGTTTTCATAAACAAAAATGTATCTATAATACAGAGTGAGAAAATGAAGTCCTGAGCCAAAAAGCTAGGTGCAGTAGCAACTAATAAAATGTATCTCATTGTTTTGCAGTTCCTTTTTAATAAACTATGGTAGCGAAAGACTAGGATCACAAATAGTTAAAGCTACATCTTCAGGGTGGCAGAGTGGAGAGTGGGAGTTTTTCATCCCTCCGATTTTCTGTGATCTCTGTGCAAAACCAAGGCTACAGTTTAATATGACCTATGTTCAAGAATAAAACTATATATGTATTGATGAAATTATTTTCAAACACACCATAATAAAATCAAGAGCTCTTACCAAGTTAGTCAATGAAAAAGAAAACTCAACAGTGAAGAGATGAACTTTTAGAATCTTTACATCCTAATGAGCATGCCGGCAATTAGCCAGGTGTCCTTTTCTGTGAATCAATACAAAAGGACTAAGAATTGCATAACCAATGGTCAGAAATTCTCGAATATTTATTACCATGGAATGATTCTCAAAGCTTATGTATAGGGCAAGAACGCAATCTATCCAATAAAAGAAAAGAAAACAGAGCATCAGAAGAAGAACACTTTGAGCTGCTTTGATCTCAGGAGGAGTTTTGTAGAGGAGCTTGCAGCTCTGCAGGTGGAGAACACGCTGGTGGTGCTTGTGGAGAAGAAACACCATGTAGCCACTGGCTCCACCCATGAAGCCCTGAAACACAGCATCTCGTAGGACCATGACAGTGAGAAAAAGCCATTTCATTTTCTGTCTTCCTCGTAGATAAAAACAGTAGGTGTCACTCTTCCTAAGTTGTGATATGTTCATGCTGATATTTGTGATGGAATATACTAAATTTATGTCTATCAAGGAATTGAGAATCCAAAAAAAGAGAAGCAGGGGAAAGACCTGCCATGAAGCCCTGGGCTTGAGCCTCCTCCACCTGGAGTGTCTGGGACTAATGGCGGCAGCCTGGACCACTGTGAGGAGAGCACTGGTGCAGATGGACAGGCCCCGGGCCACCCTCTCCAGATAAGCCACAATCTTGCAGCCTGTGTCATCTAGGAAGTTTCTCACACCAAAAGCTGGTATTATCTTTGGCACTCCTTTGGAAACAAGCATTATGATGTTTGTAAAAGCCAAATGGATAATAATAAGGTGTATTGATTTGGTTTTGATACCTCCTCTAACACTGTACATATTATTCACAAAAATAGAAATGTTCCATACAAGGCTATGTCCAGCTAGAAAAACATAAACAGTTCTGTTGGCAAGGTTGTAATCCATTTCTATCTTCATGGACAGAAAACTTGGAACTGGCAAATACACTTTTGAAGAAATATCAGTAATGATGCTAGATAACTGAAAAAAAAATTTCATATTATAGCTCTTTAGGGGCACAGGAAACACAGTAGTGATACATGTAGTATGGAAGATTTTTTGTTCTAGCACCCTATTCCTTTTTCTGTGTCATTTTTGTTGCTATTTTCTATGTTCTCTCAATCCACCTTCAGGACTAGTATTCCAAAAAAACTGAATTTTCCACTCACTTTTGAGCTTCATCTTAGTAAAATGAACCTACTTTTTCAAATCTTTCTGTGTTCACATTCTCCTTGTTTGATTCCAAGACCTATGTCTTCCTCTCATCGGATTCAAAACTGGAGGCTCATATTTAACTGGTCTGCACTGCACACCCCACACACAGCCCCTGTGAAATCCTGAGGTGTCGCTCTTCAGTATCACATTAGTGTGTCTGCATTCAATCTGTTGTACAGTTGCTAATTTTGTTAAATACCCCATTCTTTCTTTGAGTACAATTTCTTGCATTTTTATGTCCTTCCAAGTGTTACATTTTTGACACTTAACTCTTAAGATTTCTGTATTCTTAAATCCCAAGCTAACTCTTTAATATCACTCCATCTAAATACTTATTTGGTTTTATTTTTTATTTTTTTAGCACTTAATGTCAAGTCTAACTGCATCAAATCCCTGATACAGTATATAATTAAGGAGTTTTTATTGAAACAATATATGTGCCACCTGGCTATACCCACATCGGGTCCCCTAGCAGGCCAGTCCAACCTGTGCCCTGCTGTTATTTGTTCTACATTTCCTTTTAGCCAAGAAAAATTCTCTCACACCACGTACAAGATATATGATAGAGTTAACGTATATAAGTGAGAATTCTATATAGTTGTAAATAAATTCAAACTAGAGCACCAAAAATAAATGAATAAATAAAGCATAGGTTACTGGCTGAACAGAAGATGCGCCACAATATGCTTCTCTACAAGAGTCTTAGAAGAGGTCAAGGTTCATGGTACAACTAGGGCTACTAAAGGAAGCCTGGATCAGTTCTGGATCTATTGGTATTTATTAAGGTAGATTAGGAGGGGAGGGGAGTAGTTAGGTGCTGTGTGCTATCTTCAAATGAGGGCAATTTATGGATGAGGGGTTCCAAATAACGTGGACATGTAGCATCAGAGGCTGCAACATCATTAGTGCAAAAATAAATCCCTCAGTAGGGCGAACTGATGGTGTCCGCAGTCTCTGCCTGGCCTGGCCAGAGGCGTGATGCCAGTTCACCTTGCAGCCTGAGGGCTCCGTGCAACTTTTCCAAACCTGTTAACAGCAGGCTGCTTTGGTTGCTATCAGTCTAAGCTGGTGTCAAATTCAGTCGTGCCTGGGATTTTCCTCTTTCCTCTCTCAATTCTCCATTCTCATATCCTACCCTGAAACTTATGGCAAACCAGATCATTTCCAGAATTAATTAAACAAAGATGTCTGACTTATCATCAGTGAATTGCATGTGTTTCATTTCCTTGAAATACTTTTCTATAAGCCTCCCATCTGCTTACTACTAAATATTAAAGGATAGCTTCAGAGGGTTTTTTTTAATCTGAAAAATCCATTCTCCATGAACTGCACTATTATAGACTTGTACCCAGTACTGACCTCAATTAGTTCATGGTATTAGAGATATTATTAGAGAGTTATTGCCCTCCAATTATTTTCCTCCTTTGAAAAATGGGACATAATGCAAACAGCAATTATTAAAGAAAGCTGTGCACCATCCCAGATACTCAAACATGATAGACTGAGCTACAAACTGCAAGCCAGCAGATTAAGTAATCCATCTAGACTGCAAGTTGTTTAAAGTTCAGTCAGGGATTGCACGCTATTAAAAATGATCACACTCAAAATAGATGAAAACCCTGATGTTCTCACCAGAACTCTTTTCCTCATCTCTTTCTAGATTCTCATTGTGCAAATCTCTCCACAATGTTTAGAAGCTCCAGTAACCTGAAACAGATTTGAAATCAATCTCTAAACCCCCTCAAAAGGCACTTTTTTATTCTCCGACCAAATAAAATGAGAAACATGAGAACTGGGAAGGCACTTCTCCAACTTGGCATGGGAAGCATCACACTATGTGGAAGACAGGCTAGGCTCGGGTGCTGTGAATGCCCCATCCAGATCCTTCCCCCATGCATGAGGCAGGGAAAGGCCCACAGCCCCACTGTTTCCCTACTCAAGTAACGGGACTGTTGCTTATTGCTACAGGACATTGAGATAAAAATTAAAGTCAGTCACCTCAGTTTATACAAACTTTCAGCTTGGGAAATTTATAGTATGGATTCTCAAAATCAAAGGATAATTTCCATCCTGTTAGTAGGCATGGGTGCATGAGAATGAAGTTGGCTTTTGCTTAGAGTATAACATCATGTGTTAAAATAGGGAAGCATAACCGAAGAGTACAGACAGACACCTTCATGTTACAGACAAAGGCACACAGTGGACAACATAATGGAAAATAAAGAGGTGCCATGCATTCAAAATCAGGAAACATAGTATGTAAACATAGTTTGTAAAAGCTAAAATTGCCTTCAGGGTCATAATGCTGGGAAATTAGGTGGAGAAGGAAACCATTCTCCCTGGTTGGCTGGAGACCCTTTCTGTTACTCTAATATTTCGAGACCCAGGTGAGGATCTCATGCCCAGACCCAGCACTCAGCTCTGGGGTGACAGCAGCCCCTGAATTCAGGGACAGGGGCTCAAGCATTCTGGGGGCGATACCCGCTGGGACTGGGCCCTGTCATCTCTCTGAGCCCAGGGACGGAGCTTCAGGTGGCAGAAGATCAGGGAAGGTTCTTGGCTCAGGGCCCCCTCTTCCACTTCCTCCATCAGGCACACAGAGATGAAGGTTTCGTAAGAAACGGACCTGGCACAGGGGAGTATATGAAAGGCCGCTCGGGTCTGCTCACCTTGGCAGAGTGCTGCACACGACTCCAGGTCAATTGTGCTGGCCAGGTTCAGCTCTGGTTACATTTGTCCCTTCAGCACTGCTGAGCGCCTGGCCACTAGAAACTGTCACCAGGACTGCAGAGCTCACTGGTGTCACCTGTCAGGGGAAGAAACCCACTGAGCATCTCCTCCCTTGGGGACAGCTTCCCCTCTCCCTCCACAATTACCACATCTGTTTAGCTCAGAAGTTATCTCAGGCCTCACTGGAGTGTAGTGTAATTAGTTTTCTAGGGAGGACGTGCAGTGAGAAAGGAAACTGCTACCTGAGTTGTTCTGGCTCAGTTCTCCCATTTCACCAGAACTCCCCTTACCTCCCCCAAGTTCCACGCTGCTAGCAGAGCACACATCAGCTTCTGAAGCACAGAACAAGTCGCTCCCTTCCTTCTCAGAGCCTTCTTTAAACAAAGGAATAGACTAAGGAGTGACAGCCTTCCCGGGACCCTGCTTTCCTTTCCCTTCCCACCAGGCCTGGACAGGACCAAGCCCCTTGCTGTGCCTACACACATTGGGCTCACACACTCCTGGCCTACACCACCTCCCGACAAACTAACCCTGCCATGAAATCCGTGTGCAGCTCTCTGATTCGTGTCTACCCAAGATGGCCCTTCTGTCTGCCAGGCATGCAAGCCTCAGAGAGGACCCTTCCAGTCCCATGCAAAGCGATGAAACTAAAGTTGGACTCAGGCCTGAGATGAGGGGTAACAATAGCACACTTTTCCAGTTGTGTGAGACGGGCGGAGCTGCCTCAGAGGCGGGCCTGGTCCCTGTCTTCCCCTGTGTGCTGGGTGACTGTGTCCTCGTCACCGAGCGGGCACCTGGCCCATCACAGAGGCTGAGATGCTAGAGCCCTGAGGGAAAAATCAGCCTGGGAAGTGGGAGAGGTCTTCATTCCATTATGTTTCAGTGGTAAAATTCAGACACAGAGAAGTTACATTGTGTATGATGTAGGTACAAGCAAATGAAAGTTGAAAACCAGATTTCCTGGTTCAAAAAGGAACATTTATTTCTTTTAAAGCACTAGATATAGAATACTTGTGAATATTTTATTATGCACTACAAATGGGCTGACAGTCACAGAGCTGAAGCTAGAAATACTTCAATATTCATATGGAATTGTTCTCCAAGAAGCATTCTAAAGGTTGAGAAAAAATAATCTGTTTAATAAAAGAAATGTACGGAGCATCAGAAAGAGAATGCTTTGGGTGGCTTGGATCTCAGAGGGAGTTCTTCATGAAAGCTTGGAGCTCTGTAAATGTGGTGATTGTGCAGAATAAATGCATTGGCCACTGGACCCACCCATGAGGCCCTCAGCAGTGTCATCCCGTAGGACCAGGCAAGTGAGAAAAATCTATCCTCTCGTCTGATTTTCTGCCAGAAAATCCAATCAATGTCACTCACACCAATTTGTGGCAAGTTTCTGCTGCTGCTTGTAAAGGAGAAAATTCACACTTACCCAGTCATTGAGAATTCTCAGAAAAATACACGAGAGAAGCACAGGCCATGCAGCCCTGGGCTCGAGCCTCCTCCATCTGGAGTGTCCGGGACTGATAGTGATGACCTGGACCTCTGTGAGGAGAGCGCTGGTGCAGATGGAGAGACCCTGGGCCACCCTCTTCATGGGATCCACATGGGATCTCCCAGCCTGTGTCATCTAGGAAGATACTGATACCGAAAGCTGCTGGATATCTATATGTGGACTATGGATCCTGATGTCTCATTCTGTACAAAACTCAATTCAAAATGGATCAAGGGATTCACTATGAGATTTGAAACCAAAACTGTTAGGTAAAAACATAAGGGGGAACACTTCAAGATATAGGCATTGGCAAAAACCTAATGGATAGGACTTTCATAGTCCAGGAAATAATGGCAAAAATTGAGAAATGAGATTCCATCAAGTTAAAAAGTTTCTTCACAGCAAAGGAAGGAGAGCAAAGACACCATGGAAGATGAGAGAGACACTTTGCCAACTACTCTCTAACAGAGAATTAATA